CAATATATGGATATAATATTATCAAAATTGGGTGTTATATCGGATGTAGATCATTTTCTTGATATAAGGAAACTCCTAACTTCACTATAACTATGTCTTCACTATATCGAGAGTTCACTATAACGAGAGTGACTTGTACTATTTAATTTTGTTCTTTAATCTGGAATTTACAAAAATTTTTGGTTCGTATTTTAGGTTCATTCATTTTCTATATCGGAAATTTTCGTAATAGCATATTTTGACTATACCAAATCGATCAGCCGATTTTAAAAAAATCGACCGGCTAAGCTGATAATTTTCTTTAGCCGATTTTTTTCACTATCGGCCAAAATCACTACACAAAACACCACCGAATGACGAAATAATACTACAAGACACCTAAGTGGTGATGAAAAAGTACAAGATACCATCAATCGACGACGAAAAGAAAAACATCACGAAGCCGATGATGAGATCAAAAAAACACTACTGAACGACAAGAAAACATCACTGAAAAAACATCACATGACAATAAAAAGCACAACATTACGAAAGCACTACTTACAAATGATATAGAAAAAAAAAAATTTTAGATTTTTACTATAGATTAGCCTATAAATTGAAGATTTAATATGCCTACGTCAACGAACAACATTACATTATTAAAAGACCAAACTATATGAATATAGACGAACATTTTGGCAAAAAAAAAAAAAGAGCAAGAAAGTCTTTCTTTACCATGGCAATAGCCTTTTCACATATAGCTGGGATTGTTACTGAGGATTTAAGGCATGAACGTGTTATTTTCACTTTCCCATCTACCTTACGGGCACCATTTTTATTGTTCCCTAAACTAAAAAAGGTATTGGCTGGTCATTACTTTGAGTGTATTGAAAATTTTTCGGATGAACTTGATTGTAGTCAGAAAAATGAAATAATGATATCACTCTTTGGAAGTTTGGGTTATACACTTTTCGCGTGAGGATGATGTAACTAAGACACCTTATTGGCCGTGTAGAAAGCTACAAGAGAAGGGTTAAATGTTGTGCATTTCTGGTAATAAAGGTTTTATGAATGTTAGGATAAGTTCAAAGTCATTGGATGCTAATAGTAAATTTAGTGAAATAATTGATCGACTAATTCTTATTAATTAACGAATCTATTAATGTTAAAAATTTTTAAACTCTATAGTAGTCATCCGAACTGTCACATGCTTAACCGAAGCACAGCAATTAAAACAACACTTAATAACAAAGATTTGGATGTACCTTCTACTTTGATTGATAAATTAAATAGCTTAAACGATCACTCTCTTCTCCTCAATCCTAACGTTGATTCTTATAACACACTTGTACAAAAAACAAAAGAATAATATAAGTCACTTGTCTGGATTTTTTGTTTTTAAAGTTCTATTGAAGGACTTTTTTAAAAGTGAAGAATTTCAGCCATCAGGATCAGGCACAACGTTATCAGCAATCACTAGTGTTTTGTGGCAACATGTATCATTGGAAATTAAAAACAAACACAACATTGTTGCAAAAGAAATAAAGCTAGACCAAGCTTAAAAAGCTATTAAAAACAACAAAATTAGTGCAGCAGCAGAGCTTTTAGTACTTTTAACAATACTGATACAAAAATTGCCGAAGAAACTATGAATATATATTACAATACACCAGCTCTAACAAAAAACAAAAATAGCAAAACAAAAACATCTGAGCTATTACCTGCCAACCTTATACACATTTTCGGTATGTGATGTGAAAATATGTCAATGAAACCGAAACTTAATTGTGACGTCGCGTAATGTCAGAGTTCCAATATTCAATCGTCGCTCATGATTAGTAATCTATATTACTAATCATAGGCGGAGTTTGAATATTGGAACACCGACAGTACTCTATGAGTTTCAGAGGATAGCATTTAAAATATGAAAAATCTTTATACATGCAGTTAATTCAATTCTTAATAATATACATATATTAAATAATGGAATTTCTTTATAATACGTATCCACCTTATTTATTGGTTAGTTAATGTTACAATTTCCTTAAGGAGTTGAATATTAAGGAAATCTTATGTACTCGACAGTTACCATCAAGGCCTATAGATCTGTAAATATAAGAAATGTTTCCCAAAATTGGCAGGATCGTCTGAACGCTGTATAGAAGTTAGAGTTCGACTCAATGGACATTCTTTCATGAAAATGAAACTATCAATATTGGAATTGCATTCGCATATTTCGAAAGAGTGATGTAAGTTTTTTTTTTTTTATATTAATAAAATTGAAATAATTGCATTACAACAATCATTTATCCTTGCAAAGTTTACAAAAGAAACCGGTTCAGTAGAATATATCTAGACCAGATTCAGTACTTTTTCGAACATGAGATTAATCTATTGGAAAAGAGCTGTACAGTACATTAGCTGGCTTACGTAAGTGGTTTATGTCAGTTCTGAACTACAAGACAAGGTGTCACTTTCAGGTCAACGACATCCAAAGCAATACAGTATAAAAATATGGACCAAGATTTCTATGAAATTAGTAGAGACTGTACAATAACAGTTCAATAACATCTTTGACCGATTTGTGCGCAGCAGATTCGAATGGGAAAAAGAAATCCAACCAAATATATGGCTGTTAATTTCTATAGGTCCATATTTAAACCTATTAATTTTCCATTCAGCATATCGATATGTGTTGTGACGGGCTCCTAGTATCAATACAAAATAGAAAACATAGGGTAATTGCTTCTATACTTACAAAATATGTTGGATGTGTTAATATTCAAATGTTATAAGAACAAAACCTTTCAAGAGGAATTTAACATTTGAATTCGAAAGAATAGAATGCTTAATTTTTATATTCTCTACTTATAATATTCTTTGATTATTGTTTAACAATGATTAATTTTGCCAAATAAATGGTCAACTGCATTATAAAAAGAGATCAAATTCTAATCTTTTCATATTAATGAGCACATTGAAATGTTCTGCGTCAATTTCAATTATGCTGCTTGAAATTGACATAATATTATTCGTAAAATTAAGAGTAATGCACGTTATTTATGATCGGTGAATATGTATATCAGAAAAACGTTCATTTTCACTCGAAGATTTGCCAAATCATTGATAAGAAATTAATTTATCGTTATATTATTTTTTTACAACTCTTGTCAAATTTCCATAAACATGATCTTCGAAAACAATTGGTGGAGCTTTTTGAAAGCTCATTTGGTAATACAAACTTTACGTTCCTTATTGTATTCAGCTTCGATTACTTATTGCGGATATAACAGTACCATATACGAACTTTTTCTAAGTTTTATTAGAATATTTCTGGTTTGTTAAATAAGGTATGAGCAATCCAATATTAAATTTTTGAGTTACAGATGCTTTAGACGTTCAAACATTCATAATAAGTTTCCAATATTCGATCTAAGGACCTGTGACCTAGAAAAATGTATCTTCATGATTCCTTAGTTATTATTGAGGAAAGAAGTCTTTTTTTGCGAAAAATTACTTATTTCATAAATTCGAAAATGAACCTATTTTATTTATGTCAATACGAAGTCACGTAATCATTATTGAATTTATTAGTTACTAAATCATCGTAGTATAAGTTTAATACAAAAATCGACCTAAGTTACTTTCAATCGGTGAAGATTGAAACTAGCACGTGTCGATTGATTTTGTAAATAGAGACATATTCAATAAATTCGATAACGCTTTTAGAAATTATCATGTGAATCGTATTGTTGAGATTTTATAATATGGTGTTGGAAAGTTGTAACTATAGAGTTGAAATACTCGTCAACACTAGCTTTTGTTGCTTACAGACAACATTGTGGTATAAATAGTTCAGTAATGATAAAGAAATTTAAGAAATCCACGAAGTTTGAAATATAAATTCACACACAGGTTTTAAGAACTAGCGGTTTATTTAATACACTCTAATTAGATAAGGCCACGCGAATTAAATTAATTGATTCGCATAAAATATTAAGACTAAAAGCAGGGTTCAGAGCACAGCTTTAGCTTAAAGGCATGTACTCCTGGGCATGCCTTCAATTTTTTAAATTTAGGGGCATGCCTATAGGCATGCACCTCAAAATTTTTTTGAGTTAATTTTTACATATGTAAATCTTTTAGTAAAAGGTATGCCCTAGGCATGCCCAAAACCTCTGTGCCCTGTTCCCTAACTAAAGGGCACCCGGGATCCGGTTACTTTTTTTTAAATATAAAAATTATATAAATTTTTAAGCTCGTATTTCATTCAGAAATATATGATACATGCATAAGATGCTTGGCTTCACTTCGTTAAATAATAACACACTATCGCCATGCTACATATTTATCTACCAAAAGCTATACGGATCTGAAACGTTTATTATTTATTATTATTTTTTTTTTTATTTTCAATGATTTTCTTTTATTTTTATTTATTTATTTTATTTTTTATTTATTAATATATTAAATTAATGTGAATGGGGAAGACAACCGAATTTACTATCTAAATCGATCCTAAATTACATTAGTCGATATATACATTAACGATTTTATACATGTGAATATGAGATGGAATATTGTGTGGTAAACTGAATAGTCTATTTTAGGTAAGATATGAGCATTAAATTACAGGTTTGATTTCCAACGGATCTCTATCAATGTTGGTCTCCCTTATAGGTCCATTAATTTGAATTGAACTTGGACTTGGACGTTCCGACTGAAATCTGTAAGCCCAATGTTTCCAGTTTATAGGTCCAGTGGGTGAAGTTGGTCCAATCGCCTAACACTGATCCGTATCGTTTCAACTACAATCACTTCATAAAAACTTATTTCACCAACAATTAAATTCATAGACAAGTTTATTTTACAGACAATCAATTCGCAGGCAAAGATAATTTATTTTACCGACAGCTCATTTCTTAGTTTTTTTCACCACAGAAAAATTTTTCTTATTGCACCAATTTTAACTCTAATTCTAGACTAATTTAATGGCAATGACCAAAATTACTTTGTGAAAATGAGCTGTTGGTGAAATAAATTGAGTTATTGATAAAATACTAAACAGTCTATGAATGAACTCCCCAGATTAAGTCTAATATAGATGACACCTTCCACTTTAAATAGGGTTGTTATGAATCATTATGTGGCAAAAAATAATTAACTAATATATTCAGTGCTGTTCAGCTGTTCTGGACATGGACTACATGTTCATGGACATGTCCAGAACAACACTAATATATTATTAGTTAGCTATTATTTGCCACATAATGATTCATCACAACCCTGTTCAAAATGGAATATGTAAGCTATTCGACTTAATCCGACTTGTCTACAAATAAACTTGCCTGCTCTAAATCAGGATGTTGCTAACTCTAAATCAGGCCAATCGTTATGATTTTTTGAGACAATCCACGCGTGATAACTACGGATCCGCATCATTTCACAGATAGTCACTTTATAGACAACTTTAGTTCACATACAATTAAATCACAGACAAATTCACTTTCATAGTTTATTTTACCGATATCTCGTTTCACCAACAAGTTTTTTTTTTATAAATTGCACTAACCTTAATTCTAATTCTATAACTCTAAAGACATACTTCGTTGTGAATTAGTTGTTGGTAAAATAATCTGTCTATGAAATGAACTTATCTGTGAATTAATCGTCTGTAAATAAATTGTGATTTGTCTTTGAATTAAGTTGTCTATGAAGTATTATCAGTGAAATGAGCGGTACCGATGGAGGATTATATTTATGAATAAGAGAATACAGTGGTGTTCAGTGTTATAAATTCAAAAAATTTTTATTGGCGCAAATTCAAAAAAAATATGCACAAAATTTATACGCGCGTTATATATACGGGGAGCACTGATATATGCGCAAATTTAAATCTATGTGCGCTGCGCCTACT